ACTTCATCTCCGAATTCAATGATATATAAATATATATTTAAATATTTTTTTTTTTGTAAAATACATTAACCAAAATTATATGCACATATGGCGGCAGTACAGGTAAAAACGGTATGATAGTTTGTTTCATATGTACAAAATATATTATATTAATCACAGATAACAGGCGCTTCAGCCCTTATTGAAATGCAGTCATTTATATATCAGTCTATATCGAGAAAAAAAAAATTAATTTTGGATACATTAGCCATGACTCTACATGAATTATGCTACAACTCTGAATCTACAAATTGATATGTTAAAATATTTTAGTAGGTGTGGTTTATTTTGCATACTTAAAAAATTATATTACCAAAAATAAAAATATTTCACATTATGAATTGTATGACAGGTATTGCTTTTTTACATTTCATTGACGGGTTTCTTATTTTTTTCGCGAATTTTATTTTTTTCAAATAAATTCAATAACAATTGTAACAAGTTGTTGAAATACAGGCTTTTGGAAAGTTAACATTATATAAATGAAGAAATTTTCTCTTTTACTGATTTAGAAACCAACTAATAGAGTACAAATATTATTAGGAAATAATTATAAGTCATGGAAAATATTTATAAAAAAATCAAAATAACCAAAAAGTTATTTACCAAATTAAATTATTAGTAATACCTGTTTAATTGAATTCAGCCATTTTTAGTTGATTAATTAAAAACGATTTTGATATTGCACAATAAAATTATTAGCGACAACAATTGAATTAAAAACATTTTTTTTGTAAATGTTTAAGACTTAAAACTGTATTTAACTTTTAAGGTAATACCATAAGAACCATCCAATGCTCAAACATTTTCTGCAAATAAAATTTAGCTATCCTTCAGTGTATATTCTATCACTGTGTAGGTAGATGGTAGTGCATCAAATCTTAGAAAAAAATTTTTAAATTAATAACAGACATGTAATATATTATTTATAAGTACCGATATAAGTTCACTTACATTATTAACTTCATCTTCGTCGTCTTCACTGACTTCATCTCCGAATTCAATATCCTCATCAAGACCATCCTCCACGAATGTAACTGTGTCATTGATACGAACTAAAGCAGAAAAATATTTAAAATGAAAATTCAAATAAATATGTTATTGTGAATGGAAATAGTATTGTAGAAGATTTACCTGTTTCTGGAAATTCACCATAGGTTTTCAAATTCCTAGCTTCATCGGGTGTATATTTCAGAATAACATCAGCTTTAGCATCTTGATAGTCACGGAGACCAATTAGGATAATGTCACTTTGATTAATCCATACTTTTTTACGTAGTTTCCCACGAATATGGCATAATCTCTTTACACCATCAAAGCACATCGCTTCGAGACGTCCATTGCCAAGCATTTTGGTCACTTGTGCATATTCTTAATTAAAAAGTAAAAATGAGTCAATATTAACACAGACAAGACAGTATACTGTGCAAATGGGGATAATTATTGGATAGTATTTATTAAGTGCAAAAACAAAACAATACCAAAATACCTTGGCCATCTTCTTTGAAAACCAGCTCTCTTTTTTCTGCCTCATTTTCATTTTTTCCTCTTCTTCTGTTTTTACCTCCCTTTCCTAATAAATGCATAAAAATATGTTTAGATATCATTGATCAGATCAATAAAATTAGATTTAAGTGAACAACATACATATGCTAATATATATAGGGGTGATATGGACTTTGAAATACTATAAATGAACATAATATAATAAGCCAAATAGATATTTGATTCGCTATTGTAAGTCAACTAAAAAAATATGCAGGAAGATTTTGTGGTATATATGGGTGATTGTAGGGTACGTTAATGAATTGTTAACAAGACAAGTTATGAAAAATTAAGTGCAATCAGTTATACTAGAAACATCAATATATTTGATTTGATATAATCATAAGTGAGCTCAAAATACATACCTTTGTTCTTAGGCATGTCGTTGTCAAAGAGAAGAAATAAATCAAGCAAATATATATAGAGTATTAGCTAGCTGCTTGCCTTGCCCTTCTGATTTGTGTCGTCGAACAACTGTAAGTAGATATCTTGGGATCTTTGCACCTGACCAACTTCTTATTTTAACCAGATTTTGCAAAACCGTGCACGCGCTGTGCTAATCAAGCTGACTCCAAAACCCAATACTTCTTTCCTCCTGTCAAATTACCTGCATATATATATGCCGCTCCCAAGCCTAAGGCCACGAATACGTAAAGAGAGTGTCGATTTAATCGGGGTTTCACGTTCCGTTCGTCTGCTGAGTCTGCAGCTGCAGTAGCTGCACCACGCCACGCCACAACTTGACGTCACGTTACAATGTATAAGTAAATAGTAACGTACCGTCAGTCTGTGGTGTAGAAGTTACGGAATACCCCTACAGTAGGTTCGTTCAAGCCATTTTTGGTTCAGTTCGGTTCTCTTAACAAAATATACCTATACATAGGGAACCAAACAGTAGAACTGGTTCTGTATGTATAGGTATATTCTGTTAAGAGAACCGAGTCGAACCAAAAGTGGCTTGAACAAATTTATTATACTTATTTAGTCGTGAGTGTAGCTTTTTATAGATTCGTTCTGAATAGTGCTAACGCGTGGATTTTTTTATATTATGTATAGACAATTAAGAGCTGAGCCTAATGTATGTAAAAAAAAACTACCTGCCGCAACTTTTATTACAGTTGAGAAGTGTCATGATTCGTGGAGATCCAAAGGATGTATTCATACATTCGATCTTCTTCTCTTGATCATGAGTTATGTTGAGATGTATATAATTTGATCCAAACGATATTACAACCGCAATTTAGTCCAATGGATATAGAGAATAAAAAGTTAGTGAATAAGTGCCATTTGCGGCAGGTTGGGACTTTCCTACTACCCGAAAATGGCCCCTCCAAAAAATGTAGACCCCTGCAAAAAAAAAAAAATTAATGTTACAACTTTGCCAAACGTTTTTTCATAAAATTTTGTACATTTGATCAAAGTTGAGACAATTTTCTGACTCTCATCTAACGCTTATCTGAATACTCTTGATAAGATAAGATAAGCGTTGCAGATTCCAATTTCCGACGAAAAAAAGGTTATTTTCCTATCCTCTGCGAGTCCGAAAATTACCGCAACTTGGGACATTTTCATGTATAAACGTTTGGCAAAGTTGGGGCATTCTTTTTTTGGCAGGGGGTACATTTCCGGATAGTAAAAAAGCCTCAATCCTACCAACCGTACATAGCAATTAATATTGAACAACTTGTCGTTTTTTATCCATTGGACTAGGTTGCGGCCGGTATATAGTATGGATGGAATAAATTGCACTTGTTATATTCCAATGTGACTCCGGATCAAGACAAAAGATCACAAAAATACTTAGGATCTTGACGAATCATGACGTTTCTCAACTTATGCGAAAATTGCGGCAGGTACTTAATTTTTTCTAACACACTTCGGGCTTACTTATGATTTTGGTCTCAGAATCGGCTTAGCGAACGCAGCGAGAGGATATTTGTATTCAAGTGTTAATAATGCCAAAAAATGCGGAATTGTTTGCAACGTTTGCAAAACTTTGTTAAAAAACTGTGGGGTTTTTACGTTTTTTATAATTAACAAAAAACTTTTGTTGCGGCGAGAACCTTCAAAATTATCGTTTTCTTGGCTCAGACATAATTTGCAAACACTAAGCATATCTAGATCGTTTGCAAATATTTTGCTGATTAAGGAAAAATATGTGGAAATGCGAAATATGCAATATTAGTTTGCAAATAATTGTTTTTTTATTTGGCTGTTGTCCCCACTATCGGAGTTATCTACTGCAGTACTACACCACACATAGCAAAGGCGCTAAAGTTTAAATATGCTCAACTTGAATTTATATATAATCCGAATGAGATTATTCTCGCCTTTATTTTTATAAAATTACGATTTTATAGAAGTCTGCAATGAATGTTTAAATGCAATAATAATTAGTTAATTGTAATCAAACAAATCTATTATATGTACGTTAGTAATATATTACTGTAGGTTTTTTAACTACTACACGTCGTTCGTTACTGTTCCAAATTTGAAAATATTCAAGTAACCTTTGTCTATAATAATAAGAATAATAATAATTATTATTATTATTATTATTATTATTATTATGAGTTTGATTGTAACAGCTGGTTATACAGGTTGTAACTATGTACTCGCACAGTTGATAACACAGGATTCTACAACGCTCTACTCATGTGGTAAGTTAGATGGCAGATTTACACAATATAATTATCATCAGAAGCTGCCACTATATATACTTCAGATTTCGGAGTCGGGCTCGGAGCAGAAGACAGCTAAATAGTGTAAACACGACTTATTATTGTGGATTTTATTGTTCAGTCGTTTGTGAGCATAATTAATGCTATAGGGTAAGAAATACATTCATTTGGTCAATTTATTCTGGTAAATCAATTTACCTAATGAACATTTTTACTCTTCACACAGTTCAGTGCTCAAAATTTGTTCTTCGAAAATGATCAACTGTGGCATCAGATAAGTATAAACTTCTATTCTTCATATAAACCCACGAGATTGAGCAAAGTTACTTTGTTAGTACTTTAATATTCTAGGCTTTCAAGTACTCAGCTATCACTGGACATCGTCTTCCTCCTCGAATCATTCCTTGTGATTTAATTCAGGATCACTCATTCCGCAATCCTGACAGTGGCTTCCATGAAAATAGGAAACGAGAAGGAATCTTCAAGCTTATTGAGTGGAAAAACTTTTTTTTCATCACAACCTTAGGCCAATTACTAATCTAAAAAGCTTAAGTATATCTTAGAAGATGAATATACAGTTTTTTTGTATTTGTCTTTTGAAAAATAAGTGCTACACTACGATGGTAATCACATAAATGTTCTAACTGCTGGTAAAGCAGGTTTAGTACTTATTAACTTTGTTTACAGAAAGAAGCAAAAAAAAGAGAATTATTTGGTTAATGGCGTAATAGAAAATTCTAATTTTTTCAATTAAATCGAAAATAACAAATCTTAATATAAATTACATTTTTTTATTAATTGAAGGCTTCGTATATTTGTAATGAAACTTAATCCAAAAGTGTACATTACCATTTTTTTTTTCCCCAATACTGACCACAATTAATGAATCTTTATAATTATTTTCGTACGTATGCTTGTTTTTAGTACAAAAAAGATAATGTTTTCACATTTCCGAATTTGAACGCCCTTATCACAGATGAATAATTGATAAGATCATCATGCCTCAACAACCTGAAATAAATCCGTCATTTTTAATCAATCAACTGAAAAATTGGAGTATATTTGAGAACAATAGTCTAAGGGGTGTTAATGATCCAGTATGGAAAGATATCAAAGAAGAATTAAAGTTGGACATGCTGCCGAAATCAATTTGCCTGTTTGTATACAATAACAGGCATAATTCAAAAATTATTCTAGAGGAATTTTTTAACATTAAGAAGGTGGAAAAAAAACGAAAAAAAATTGATAAGTATTGTGCAAACGTTGGAGAACAAAATCCATTTGATCTCGAAAAGTTAGTTTTTAACTTTTCAATCATAACACATGAGATAATCGATGTAAGCTTACAAAAAATGAAGGATGGATGGACCGATAAGATGTTTGCAAAAATTTGGAAAGCTCATCCTTTACCATGTGCTTATAATTTTAAAAATCAACACATCACAGCGAATGGTACTTTAAAATTGAGTGGATTTTGTAATGAATGCGGAACTGGTTTTAATGGGCAAAGTGATAACAACATTTTTAAAGATATATTGAATATCAGAATAGATGCTTTTGACACTTCAATGATATCACACAGAAAGAAAAGGAAATTACAAGGAGAATCTCGCACTTTGGTGCAAGAAAAGTTATTGACCAAAACAGCTGTGGAATATCGCGAAGAAAAGCTCTCTAAAATAACCACAAGTTTTGAACCACCAGATTTAAATTCCACTTCCACTTTGTCAAAAGCAAGACATCAAGCAATAGATTTATTACTAGATTTTAATAAATTCAAACATGTTTCTATTACCAACAATGAATTCAGAGAAAGATGTGGCATTAGAAAACTTACATTATCCCCACTTGTTGTAGCTTATTGGACAGAAAAGCAAATGCAATTTTGGAATTCAATTTGGCACTTAGTAAAACCTTTGTCTGTAGATTCTACTGGTAGTTTAGTTCTTAAATACTCGTTCTATGAAGGCATGATTGACAAAGTCAATTATGTTTACGAAGTAGTTGTTGGATTTGCTGGAAAAATAGTTCCAATACTACAAATCATAATGACGCAGCATCATGTTTCACCAGTCAGGGAAATCTTTGACATGTGGATTGAATATGGGGCTAAGATTCCCAAAGAAATTTCGGCTGATGGATCTCTGACTCTTGGAAACGCACTAAACTTGTCCTTTAATAAATTAACTTTTAAAGCTTACAATCTCGCTTGTTTTGAAGTACTAACTGGAGAAGAAACCAATAAACTCCCTCCATGTTATTTCCGGCAAGATGTTTTTCATCTGATACATAATGTTGGAGATTGGAAATGTTTTAAAAACTGTGATCCTAATCTAGTTGATTATTACAAAAGAATTATTGGGTATCTAACTCAAGTGGAATCACTCGACGTATTTGTAAAAGTAGTTACTTCAGCTTTAATAGTTTCTAGAAGCCCACTTGATGATGAGGGATCTTTGTGTATGAAGCATAAAGAAACTTTATTTGAATTAATTAAAACATACAGTATTGATTTGGAAAATTGTGAATCTATCTTTAGTTCAAAGAAATTTATTCACAATGAAGAAATTGAAGACCCTATGAATATACAAAATAGCGACGATCATTTAATTCAGTTTATTAACATTACATTTACAGATGCTCTTTCTATGTGCTCCGTCAAAGAAAAAACATCTGCTGAGTCAAACTTTCACTTTTGCCCTGATTTTCCAACTAGATTTCAATTGCTTTGTTACAGTTTTCCTTCATGGACGAATTTAATGTCACCTTTTTATAAGTCACCAAACAGCACAGGCACGTCAGCAAGATCTGAAGCTAATTTTAGATATACAAAGAGTAAAATACCTAGGCCAATCCACATTCAAAAATACATTTTAAAAGATTTGATTAAAATCAA